AACGCCCCTTCATCTAAAGGAAATGCGACTGTACGATTTAGAGTTGTTTTCTAATGATATCTGGTGGCATAATGGTTAACTCACTAGCCCGCTAAGCATGAAATGCATGTTCGAGTCGTTCCGAGTTTAGGTCTTTTACTCATAACTTCGCAATATTTGTGATATTCGAATTGTACACAGAATACCTTAGTACTGCTTATCCTAAACATTGCTTGCAGCAGGGTTCGGTGCTGGGCGGGCCAACAAGATGGTGGGTGGCCCCTCACGGAAGACCACCGTATCGTCGGCTCCGTCGCCAGCCCAAATACGTACATATAGTAAAAATCATGAAATGGATTTCGCGAAGATATACCTCGCCATGCAAAAGGGTCACAAGGTTAGTTGAATAAGATCTGATTTATGAATCTTATGAAAGTATGACCCTGCAGGTGTGCAAGATCAATGTACTGAAGAAATGGGATCCGGCATACAAGTTGCTTACTCTAAACATGGATACTCGTCAGTTGTTTCTCACAAAACTTGAACAAACGGCTGTTAGGTAAGTCTTCCCTGTTCCGCGTCACTTCTGGGCTTGTAAAAGAAGGGGGTGGATGGAGTACCCTTCTGCAGTCTGGTCGGCGAAAAACTTGCTCGATCGCCTTTATAAGCGGCTCGAAGAAGATGGGGGAGGGGAGGGGTAGCCGAGAGTTATGCGCTGAAAATGCTTATTTCTGCTTTTGAAACTGACTTTCCATTGAGACGCGAATCGGGTCACTGCTAGATAGACGGTACAAAAGAAGTGTTTCGTGGGAAGTACCTCTCGAAGGGGGAGGATGGGTGTACGGGGGTTGCACTTGACCGTTGGTGGTTGGTGTAGGGTCTTATCTGGGCTTGAATCGTTGTGAAGGGAATCAGTGGTGGTATATTTCTATGTAGTCACACCGTATAATAACCAATTTGAACAAAATTACTAAAAAAACTTAAAGTTTTCGTGATTTCCCAACATGGGTGGGGTCGTAAATGGCGGGATATTGGCCGACGGATCGAACAAAAGTATGGGCTTGTTCGTGACAGATTTCTATCGCTTCACGAAGAGTACAACGGTACCTTCATTCGAAGAATTCCATCGAAGGGTTCGATCGATGAGGAGGGACGGTTGTATCCGACCTAGGGAGAGGTTTTCAGAGTCGCGAGTAAAATTCTTCTGGTTGTTCCCGTTTCACGTGCGCCCCACACCCATACCACCCTAGTTGGGGCGTTGCAGAACTTTTTTATATAACTACTATTTTCAAGAGAGGACACTGTGCCCCCTTCCGTTCACCCAGGTGTCAGTACCACCTCCTCAGGTGGTCGGCGTATTTTTTCGGGAAAGACCGATAAACTGTATGGAAAATTGGTAGGGAGCTGGATGAATTCAGCAAGATGGCAGGAAGGACGAGAAAGGAGGGTCGCATTGAGAAACAGGACGTTTTTGGGAGCCATCCCAATAGAGGAAATTCTAGGGGTTGTACTGACACCGCCATTTCACCGATCCCAATCAGAGATCGTCCTGCCGTTGGAGGAAATTTTGCCAAAATTCGTTTTTCCTAAAAACTTCCTCCTATAATGCAACCTCCCCCCCCCTTTCCCCGTCCCGCATCCTACCTACCATCTTCATGAACTTTCTCAGTTTTTCCTAAGGTCCCCCCCAAAAAAAACCACCGTCTGGCGGTGGATGG